AGGTCCCGGTGGCGTGCACGTTGCGCGCAGAGAAGGGACGGTTGGCTGTGCAGCAGGATTGCCCTGGTGGGAAGGAGACAAGGGCTCCAGACTGCTCTGAATGCCACCTCCAACTCCACTTCCAACTGAACTGAACCCAATACCGGGCTCATTGGGGGAGAGCCTAGACTGTTTGGTAGCAGGCGAAAACCGAGGGCACCTTTCTCTCAGAGGCGCTTGCAAGGAGTACTTAAGGACCCTGAGATTCAGGAGCCGCATAGGGCAGGGCTGACAGAAGCCAAGGCTGTAGGCTCCACCCTGAAACCCTGCCCCATCAGGGAAGCTGCAAAAATGCCAAGACGAAATAGATCACAAACGAAAGAAATGGAGGACAAAAAGCGACTGGATATAGAGTTCAAATCTACGCTTTAAGATTTTTCAAGAATTTCCTAGAAAAGATAAGACCTATGAGGATTTGAAAAGGGATCAACTAGAATTAATAAGGAATCAACAAGAAATGATAAGGGATCAACAAGAAATAAAGAATATATTGTCTGAAATAAAAAATATTATACAGAGTCCTAAAAACAGAATGAAAGATCGCAAGAATCAAGTCAAAGATTTGGAACATAAAGAGCCAGAAGACACTCCTCCACAGAAGCTAGAAGGCAAGAGAATCCAGAAAATTGAAGATAATGTAAGAAACCTCTGGGACAACTTCAAGCGAACCAACATCAGAATTATGGGGGTCCCAGAAGATGAGAGAGAGCAAGATATTGAAAACATACTGAAAGAAATAGTGACAGAAAACTTCTCCCACCTAGTGAAAGAATTAGATTTACAAGTCCAGGAAGTGCACAAAACTCCAAACAAAAGGAATCCAAAGAGGACCACACCAAGACAAATCATAATTAAAATTCCAAAAGCAAAAGACAAAGAGAGAATATTAAAAGCAGCAAGAGAAAAGCAGGTAGTTACCTATAAAGGAGCACCTATACGATTTTCAGCTGATTTCTCAACAGAAACCATGCAGGCCAGATGGGAATGGCAAGAAATATTCAAGGTGATGAATAGTAAGAACCTACAGCCAAAGATAATCTATCCAGCAAAGCTATCACTCAGAATTGAAGGTCAGATAAAGAGCTTCACTAATTAAAAAAAAAGCTAAAGGAGTTCATCACCAACAAACCAGAATTACATGAATTGCTGAAGGGGGTTCTTTCAGAAGAGAAAGTAAATAAAGATAAAAATTATGAACAACAAATACGTAACTATCAACAAGTGAATCTAAAAACCAAGGAAATTTAAAAAAAATCTGATGAACAATATTAACTGTTGAATATAATAGAATCAGAGGTATGGCAGGGGAGTGAACTGACGATTCTTGGGGAAAAGGGGAGAGGGGGATGTGGGAAGAGACTGAACATAAACTGTGCACCTATGGATGAGGACAATGGGGGGTGGGGAAAGGGCAGAGGGTGGGGTGGGAACCTGGTGGAGGAGAGCAATGGAGGGGGGGGGGAGAGGAACATTTGTAATAATATGAACAATAAAAATTTATTTAAAAATTTTTTTTAAAAAGTAGATGCAAAAAAAAAAAAAGATATATCTGTCAGGTACATTGTGTCTGAGGATGTTTGCCTCTCATAATTAGAGTTTATATTGCCAAGTGTTATTTATTTTTTTCTCCTTGAGTATGTTCGATAATAGAATTGTTTGTCTTACTCAATATTGGGTTCTAGCTTGTTGTGTTAATAGCATCTACTGAATCATTTGTATTGTTTTTTATTTAATCAAGAATTAGAAATCATAAATTTAAACTGTCTAAGGATTTTATTGTTGTTTACCCTACTAAGACTGTGTCTTGTATTTTTTACTTTTATAGAAGAATAAAAGATGCTGGTTTGTACTGAAAAAAAAATGCAGGATTATATCTTAATATGATTCCGTGGAACAATTTACATTTTATTTTGTATCATTATGAACAAATACTGCTTAGGATGGACTACAATGACGATCTCCCTTTGTGACAGAGAGCTGTTTACAAAAACAGTCCCATACTATATAACTTTTTGTACATCACTTAATGGCTTTGCCCTTTACTAGATGTGCCAGGCAGTTTAGACATGTTAATGCTAGTATTCACAGCAGCCTTGTAAGGTAGATATTCTTATTTACAGATGAAAAAAATTAAGGTTCACAGATACTAAATTTTTCTGAGGCCACAGAACTAAGTGGTGGGAGAGCCAGATTTGGAACCCAGATATCTCTGACTTCAAAGTCCCTTGTTTCTACTCTGTTAAAACAGAATGACTCAGTCTTCAACAAGCCTGGCTTTGCCAGTGTAATTATGGAAAATCTATCATAATTATTATAATTTGGAACAAGAGAACTCAAATATCCCAAAGAATAAAATCAAAATCTAGTTCCACATACCCATGAAACCATTCGAAAATATGATGAGCACCCAGTGCTTAAGTAAAATGTAAGCAATAAATTTGTTAAACTTCAAGAGGAACAGCAGTTCAGGAAAGAGAAGAGAATAATAGGGAATCAAAGAAGCAGAAAGAACGTTTCTTTGAGCTCAATTTGGAATTAAATGAATCAATTTTAATATTAATTATAGTTGCTAACATATAATACTAGACCTAGTCTTTTTATTTTTATTTTTATTTATTTTTATTTTAAAACTCCTTTCTTTTAAATATATATTTTATTGATTTTGTACAGAGAGGAAGGGAGAGAGATAGAGAGCTAGAAACATAGATGAGAGAGCCTACTCCAGAGAGGAAGGGAGAGAGATAGAGAGCTAGACACATCGATGAGAGAGCGTCCTCATCAGCTGCCTCTTGCACACCCCCTACCGGGGATGTGCCCACAACCAAGGTACATGCCCTTGACCGGAATCGAACCCGGGACCTTTCAGTCCCCAAGCCGACGCTCTATCTATTGAGCCAAACCGGTCTCGGATAGACCTAGTCTTTTTAAAAATAAGTATGGCCCTACCTGGTTTGGCTCAGTGGATAGAGCGTCGGCCTGCAGACTGAAGGGTTCTGGGTTCAAGTCCAGTCAAGAGCACCTGCTAGGTTATGGACTCAATCCCCAGTAAAAGTGTGCAGGAGGCAGCTGATCAATGATTCTCATCATTGATGTTTCTATCCCTCTCTCTCCTCTCTGAAATCAATAAAAATATATTTAAAAAATAAATATGTCCATAGAAAAAAAACATATACTAAAAAATGAATAGTGTTGGCTGAGAAAAACCGTTACATCTTTCTTTTTTTTTTAATATATTTTATTGATTTTTTACAGAAGGATAGAGAGTTAGAAACATCAATGAGAATCATCGATCAGCTGCTTCTTGCACATCCCCTACTGGGGATGTGCCCACAACCAAGGTACATGCCCCTGACGGGAATCGAACCTGGGACCTTTCAGTCCATAGGCTGATGCTCTATCCACTGAGCCAAACTGGTTAGGGTGGAAAACCATTAAGTCTTAAAGAACAGGGAAGATGAGGGCAAACTTCACACCTCCACCCAAGGCGTTGCAGTCTCTGATCAGGTCAGCCTCCCTCAAGTTTCTCTTAGGCAATCCTTCTTAAACTTCAATATCCACATAAATATCCTCAGAATTTTATTACAAACGCAGGTTCTCATTCAGCAGCTCTGAGGTGGAGCCTGACATTCTATTTTTCTAACAAGTGCCTAGGTGAGGTTGATACTCTGGTCTCTTCGAAGGAGAGAGAGCTCTGTCTATATTGGTAGTGGCCTTGTGGTTCCAGAACCCATGAGCACTGGTTATTAGCACAATTCTTTCCTTGGGATACTCATGAAATTAATATATTAAACCATCTTCCCCTCCCCAACAGGAGATAGCTTGGATTACTGTTTCTTGCAACCAGAGCTCTCATTATTAGTAAACACCCTCATAACCAACTCTAAGTTCGTAAGATCAGGGGATACTTGTTAGCCAGCTATGTAGCCCCTGAGACACCTTCTTGGCACACATTAAGCATTCAATAAATGTTTTCAAAAAAATGAATTAAACAACTAAGTTTGACAAAACTACCTCTTTTGCCCTAATTGACTTGGTTCAGTGGATAAGAGCATCAGCCTGTGGACTGAAGGGTCTTAGGTTCTATTTCCATCAAAAGCACATGCCCTGGTTGAGGCTCTATCCCCAGTAGAGGGTGTGCAGGAGGCAGCCGATCAATGATTTTCTCTCCCTTCCTCTCAGAAATCAATGAAAATATATTTTTACAAAAACACACAACTTGCCAAAACCAGTTTGGCTCAGTGGTAGAGCGTCGGTCTGCGGACTGAAAGGTCCCAGGTTCGATTCCGGTCAAGGGCATGTATATTGGTTGCGGGCACATCTCCGGTAGGGGTTGTGCAAGAGGCAGCTGGTCGATGTTTCTCTCTCATCAACGTTTTTAGCTCTCTATCTCTCTCCCTTCCTCTCTGTAAAAAAAATCAATAAAATATATTTAAAAAATTTTAAAAATTTCATGTTTAAAAAAAAAATAAAAAAATAAAAAAGACACAACAAAACCCCACTAAAAACAATCTCTTCTTCTAAATGGATAATTAATGTAACAACCCTGATTCTAATGGGAGGATCCAGTTAGGACCCCAAACAAACAGACTATGCTACTTGGCAGTCAGTGAGGACAAGTGGGGATTCAGATCCTGCCCCATCTAGTTTTCCAGTGCTAGGCTGGCAGATCCTGCTTCTCCCCACTTGTCTGTGTGTATACGTGTGTGTGTTTGTGTGTATGAGGGGGATGCATAAGGTTCTTGCTAAAGAAAGTTTCAACTGCATGTTTTAGCATACTTATTTTGAAAAATCAAGTGATCAACCCTTTTCAATATTTTATTTTTACTGTACAAAACTGAATCATGTACAAAATAGTATTTACTCCAGAATTTCATTATTTCTAACTTGTCAATCTCTTCATAACATGACAGAGGTCCCATTTAAAAACCAACTTATTTCAATCTAACCTAAATAATTTCAAGCTAATCCGTACCTGAAATGTGTGTTATTTCATCTTTTATATCCTTAATCTCAGCTTGGACTATTGTTAAATTAGATATTTTTTCATGTAAGAAAGCAATTTCCTTCTCTCTTTGTAGTAAGTCAGCAACAAGTCTTCCAATGCGTAGTGTTAAATCATTTACCAATGGTTCCAAACGGGAAAAGTCCTTCTTTAGATTATACACCTTTGGCTTTAGATCATTTGCAAAAGTCACTGTCTTCAGAACTTTAGCTCTGTCACTTTCTAAGCTTAACAACCTATCTGTGTGCTTGTTGAAGTCACTCTTCAGCTCCGAAAGGATCTTCTTAACTGAGTTAATTCTCTGTGAATTTTCAGATGCTGTCTTTCGGAGCATTGATGTTCGGTCAATGCTGCTGGAAAGAAGATCACCTATGTTTTTTACTGTATTTTTTTCTGCTTTTTCTATTTTACTTTCTAGTTCTTGCACAGAGTCTGTCAATGATGTTGTATCAGTTACTAAACCTGAAATACGGCGCAAATCTGTCTTTATAGTTGTAATCTTGAGACCAACATCTTTTGCCACGGAAGTTGTACTTTGGTCTACTTTTGTAACATCTTGTGAAAGAATTGTCAAATTGTTGTTCACTATGCCCTGTTTTTCAGTTATCCTGTTGGACCAAGTTTTCAACTCATAAATCTCCTCCTGTAGATGCTTTAGATGAGCAATTATTTGAAAAGACTTCCATTGTTCCATGATAGCTTCAGACTTCTGACACTATAAGAAAATACAATACCACAGTAACTAAGTTGATTAAGATCTCAACAGTTAAAATTTAACTTAAGTTTTGTTAATCCTCACCCAAGGATATTAGGGAGAGTGTAAGAGAGAGGAAAAGACAGAAACATCGATGTGAGATAAACACATCGATTGGTTGTCTCCTGCATGAGCCCCAACAAGAAGAGAAGAGAAGCCTGCAACCAGTACCTGTCCTTGACCGAAATCGAATCCTGATGATCTATCCACTGAGCCAAACAAGGTAGGGCTCAACTTAAATTTTATGTTAGTTTTTTTTTTTTTTAAACATATTTTATTGATTTTTTTTACAGAGAGGGATAGAGAGTTAGAAACATCGATGAGAGAGAATCATTGATCAGCTACCTCCTGCACACCCCTGCTGGGGATGTGCCCGCAACCAAGGTACATGCTCTTGACCGGAATTGAACCTGGGATCTTTCAGTCCGCAGGACGAAGCTCTATTCACTGAGCCAAACCTGTTTTGGCAAATTTTATGTTAGTTTTAGCCATAATTTCACTGCTCCTCTGGAAAGCATTTGGTAAAAGATGTATGAAGTATATTACTAATGAATAAGAAGGAAAACATTAAGGAAATAGAAATTGTTATTGAGAATGACACTTCAGTTATTATTTTTGTACTATCAATCCTCTGTACAGTTACAAAATGAGCTAAACGATAGTGACTTATTTTTCAATTGCTGGAGAAGGGAAGAGCCTTCTAGATGAGCACTGGTAGAATTGGGAGAGGGGTAGCGGTCAAACAGGCACTATAACTTTTGAGACGTAAGTTGTGTGTAGTTATAACAAGTCCAGAATGGATGTTCAAGACACTTTATTTTATTTTAAAAAATATATATATTTTATTGTTTTTTTACAGAGAGGAATGGAGAGGGATAGAGAGTTAGAAACATTGATGAGAGAGAAACATCAATCAGTGTCTCTTGCACACTTCCTACTGGGGATGTGCTTGCAACCAAGGTACATGCCTTTGACTAGAATTGAACCTGGGACCTTTTAGTCCTCAGGCTGACTCTCTGTCTACCGAGCCAAACTGGTTAGGGCCATTTTAAATACACTTATTATCCTAGTACTTTTATGAATAATTTTCTGGGGTATCTATCGTAAATAATTCAATTTAACTAATTCTTAAGTTCCTAGTATATTATTAGGCATGCCAGGTGTGAGAGACATAAAGATGAATACAGCTTAGACTGTGGCCTCAATTCAGTTTACTCATTTAGTAGAGAAGACATACGTGTGAAAAACAAAACAACAAATAAACAAAAGCTATCTCCAAGGTTCAAAAATTCCATGATTCCAAATACAAGTGGCTCTTAGTTTTTGTATGTTCCAATGCCATTGTCCTTCCCCACCATCCACTGTATACTGATATCTCTGAGCTGTCGTTTTGGTTTAACTTGGTCACATTAGCTGATGGACATTTTGAGTGCCTGGCAACATTTCAAGTTGTTGTTGGCGGTGGTGTGTGCAGGAGGCAACCAGTCGATGTGCCTCTCCCACATCAATGATTCTCTCTCTCCTTTGAGGCTGCCCTTCCACTTTCTCTGAAAAGCAATGGAAAAAATATCCTTAGGTGAGAATTTAAAAGAAAGAGGTCAAAGGAGCAGCTATGTAGTTTCAAAGAAATAGAAGGCTGAAATGGGCCAATAGAACAGTTAATTAATTCAAAGCAGCAATCCAGTTGCCCCATCATATATGTTTTGTAAATTTTAGAATTTTTTTCCTCAACAGGTTTATGCTTCATTAATTATTGATGGGGGAGGTGCCCCTCCTGCCCGCCCCTCCTTTTTTGATAGAGAAGTTAGATTGTGAAAATGTCATTGCAACTGTGGCAATAAAGGACAGCCACAAATGGGAAGGAAATCAAGTAGTGATTGCAAAACCACATTTTATTTTTAAGGGGAAAGTTTTGCAATAAAGTATATTCACTGAAACAGAAGATCCCCAAGGGTGAAAAGAGATGGTTTATTTTCATTTATTTCATCACTAGGTTAACATTTATTAATGTATCTACTCTGTAAATGTAGCTTAATAGCACATAAGTAAGACACCTCAGAAAGAGCTAAGTTTATTCTTTTTTTTTTTTTTTTTTACATTTTTAAGATAAATTTTATCAGAATTAAATGATTCTTACTTAAGGAAATCACAAATCAGAGCCCTTAAATAAATGCCATGGATGCAATAACATCTGGCCACAGGAACATTAGGCCAAATGTCCTTTAACTTTAGCTATATTGACCTCTGCTTTAAATGTTCTACTCTTGTTTTAAACCTCCCCAAAGCACACATTTGTCTAGAACCTGATGAGACAAGAGTGTGCGTGTGAGATCTAAGACTGTGCTATAACAGGAAAAGGCTAACACTGATGTGCCAAGCGAAAAAGAAAAGACAGCAACTTCTGCAAAAGGCAACAAAACAAATGAAAAAAAAAAACAAGTCTTGCATGTGTCTCCATCTCGTTGCTTCTATGTTTGAAAAAAGGAGCCTGTATCTCGCTAGGCTGTGGCTGGAATCCACTAGGTGTTCTGTGTCCAGAGGTCTAGGCTCGGTGGTGCTCTCAGCAGCAGCCTGGCGGTGTGGTTCTGAGGCTGGGTGACCCGTGCTTTCAGAGAAGCAGGAAAGGGTCCTCTGGGAGTGCTGCAGTCTCTCAGAAAGAAGTTCATCAAAGTAGCGAACACCGGAAGAAACTGGTCTTCTTTGATCGGTTTTCTGTTATTTTCACTGGTCCACCTGCTCCCGATGAATTGCTGTGGTTCATTTTTTCTGTTGAGTTTTGTCCTTATATCTCGTGCGAGTGTAAAAAATGCCTCTTCTACATTTGTACTGGATTTTGCACTTGTCTCCAAGAATTTAATCCCATCGTCAATTGCTAACTTCTCCCCTCTTTCTTTTGACACTTGTCTTTTGTCATTCACATCGCATTTGTTACCCAGGATCATTCTTTCCACGTCTAAAGAGGCATGCTCTTCAATGTTTCTTATCCAATTTTTAATATTGTCGAAGGACTTTTCATTTGTGATGTCATAGACCAGCATGATTCCCATGGCTCCTCTATTGTATGCTGTCGTGATGGTTCAAAATCTTTCCTGGCCTGCTGTGTCCCGTATCTGAAGCTTGATTTTCTTTCCATCAAGTTCTATCGTTCTGATTTTAAAATCAATTCCGATGGTGGAGATGAAGGTGGTGTTAAAGGCGTCCTCCGAAAAGCGGAAAAGGAGGCAGGTCTTGCCCACCCCCGAGTCGCCGATCAGCAGCAGCTTGAACAGATAATCGAACGTCTTCGCCATCTTCTCGCTCCGGCCGGTCTGACCCGGGAGCGAGAGCAGCGGCGGAGCGAGGCGGAGAGAGCCTAAGTTTATTCTTTTTTTTTTTTTTTTTTTAAATATATTTTATTGATTTTGTACAGAGAGGAAGGGAGAGAGATAGTTAGAAACATCAATGAGAGAGAGTCATCGATTAGCTGCCTCTTGCACACCCCCTACTGGGGATATGCCCGCAACCAAGGTACATGCCCTTGACCGGAATCTAATCCGGGTCCTTCAGACCCCAAGCCGACGCTCTATCCATTGAGCCAAACCAGTCTCGGCCTAAGTTTATTCTTAAAGGATCGGATCATTAAGAAGCTGTTAGTAAGCCTCTTTGTTTTACTTGGTAGCTTACAAAAGCAATTTATCAAGAACTTCCACTGAGCTTTACTAAAATATAAACTCAGTACACTGTAGGAATTGTCTACTAATTGTTTTTCTGAATTATTTAAAATAAATTCTTTTGGACAGATCCAAAAGTTTGTTTGCAAGGTTCCCAATCTTGCTAATTTTCTATGTCCTCATTTGTAAAATGGGTCATAGTTAGCAAAGCTGTGGTGAGAAACTAATGAACAAAATAAACTAACAACAACAACAAAATATATAATTTATGAACCAATGTTACCCCAATAAACTCAATTTAAAAAAGACGAAAAAAAAAGACATGCAGAGTGCCTGGCTGACGTGGCTCAGCAGTTCAGCGTTCACCTAAGAACCGAGAGGTCACGGTCCCATTCCCCATCAGGGCACTGGGGTGTGCAGGAGGCAGCCAGTCAATGATTCTCTCACATCACTGATGTTTCTCTCTCTCTCTCTCTCTCTCTCTCTCTCTCTCTCTCTCTCTCTCTCTCTCTCTCCTTCTCTGATATCAACAAAAATATATTTTAAAAAATCATGATGATGTGTCAAATATGGTGATAGGCCAAAAAATTAAGTAAATAGAAATGAAGAATACAAGAGATCACATCTCTCGGACAGGATGGACGGTGAAAGAACAAATTCCAGCTAACTTTATAATCTATTTTATTAGTATGAAAATAAAAACAAACAAATACAATTTTGTCAGTGCACACAGACAAGAACTTGAGACATTCAGAACTCGAGGAATTTAATGTTAAGATTTCAGAAATTAATGCTGTGACTTTTAATAGACTCTTCCATTTTTATGACCCACAGCTATCCACCATAGAACTTATTTGGGATTTCCCCCAAAATGTGCAAATTTACGTAGTACAACTAACTACCTGACCACAACTACCTTTTGTGGTAGTTGTGTGACTGCTTTCAAGTTGTTTGTGCTTAATTCCACTGAAACTGCATTACAAAAAGGGACTACAGTTGGTTATTGGCAAGAATCAATAAGAATAGTACCTCCATATACAGTTGTCTTAGTTTTTAACACCAAATTTGGACACTCTTAATGTATCAGTTTATCAATAAAAGTCTCATGTGCTCCCCGAATCCTGCACATTTCTGATTATAGTTATTAGAAAAATATGGCTAGGTCTCTGCTTAATCACCTTAGTATGCCTGTCTTATTCCTTATGACCCTATTATGTAATTTTGAGTAAAATAAATCACTATGTGAAGCAAATCTGGTTGGGTAGTTTGGGGACTCTAAAATAATGACATACTTTTTTTTTTTTCAGCCTG